GCATTTTCGTGATAAGTATTCATTTGTAGTAAAAAAACCTGAAGAAGTTTTACTTCAAGAATTTTGATTGTGTTTTTAAGGCATGTCGGGTATCATTTGAAAGGTCTTAAGGAGTAGAATGCGATTTTATTTATAAATGTGACAATAAGTATTATTATTTATACTTTTATAATTTTTTGTAAACGGATCTAAAGCAGTTTTTACTTCAAAAATTTTAAATGTGTTTTTTATTTTTGGGGTGTTTGTTTGAAAGGTCTTGAAGAGTATAATACGATTTCATAAATAAAAACGCGGTAAGTATACTCATTTACACAATAAGTATTCATTTGTAGTAAAAGAACTAAAGAAGTTTTACTTCAAATAGTTTTGTTTGTGTTTTAGGCATGTCAAGTATCATTTGGAAGGTCTTGAAAAGTATAATACGATTTTATGAATAAAAACGTGATAAGTATACTCATTTACGTGATAAGTATTAATGTGTTAAAAAAAACCAAAGAAGTTTTACTTCAAAAAATTTGATTGTGTTTTTAAGGCATTCGGTATCATTTGAAAGCTCTCGAAAAGCAGAATACAATATTATACATATAAAAATGATACATATCATCATATTTTTATAGGAAAAAAACTTGAATTTTCAATTTTATTATACAGTATATAAAATGTCTGTGTTCTGAGTCATAATTGCATAAAATTACTTATTTTTTATCCAACACTGTATGTTCATTATTGTAATATGTAAAGTTTTCACGAACTTTAATATTCTTAAGTCGAGTCTAAAGAAGTTTTACTTCAAAAAATTTTGCTAGTAGTTATATGGCTTGTAGGGTATCGTTTAAAAGGTCTCAAGGAGTTAAATACGATTTTTATTAAAAAAAAAACCTTTTTTAAAGTAAGACTATGAATATTAGACATTTTTGTATGTGCTTGCTAATATATAGTTTTTTAAGTAGTATTTTAATTTCTGTATCTATTACTAGTCAGAAATATTTACATTTAATTGCATTTTTTTGAGAATTTAAGTAGGCGAAAATATAGAAGTAAAATATAGAAAATCTCAAAAAAAAAAATTACTGATGATGTGCATATACTCTTACCCGACTTCTTCAGCCATCGTGGTATACGTAGCTTTGATGAAGATGTTCTCCAAATCAGCCAAAGCCATCAACATATGTTCTCTGTTCACTGGATTACCATCAGTCCTCTGCCAATATTGTTCCAACAAGGGGACGCTGAAGGTTTGTTGTTGGTCAGGTTGTGGTTGTTCTTTGCCGAAGTATTTCAATTGCACATCGTTCTGCAAATAGCAACCATGAAATCAAGTACGTACAACAAAGATTTAAATATAATTTAAGTACTTACACCAATTAATTCAACATCATGAGCACTGTTTCTGGAATTGCCACCTGGTGCAGGTACGTGTCTAATGGTGTAGTTTAAGACACCTCCATAAGAAGTGACACGGTCTCCTAAGAACCTAGATGGAAGACTCCAGTAGAATGTATCGCGTCTTGAAGGACTGAAGGAGTGGTAAACTAATTCTCTGCGTGATGGATCAACCTGTAATACAAACCATGATTTATGCACATGTCTAAAACAATATTTGAGAAATTATTTACCTGTAGACCAGATGTGATCGGTGTCTTCTTGCGTTGGGATTCGATCAGAGCAAACTCATTGGACGAATGGGCAAATGCTGCAGAAATCTATAAAACGTAATAAATTAGTATTAGTATAATATTTAAGAGGTTGTTTATCTTTATTTACCTGGTCTCTATAATCTCTGGAGCTTGTACATTGTTGTGTGATGCCCATACAGAAGCAGCTGATGCATCCGAATTGATTCTCAGAGTCCAAATGGAAAGCGTTTTCTTTGCAACGGTCGCAACGTGGTCCAGTAGTTGATTCCTTCAGAAAAAAGTATAAAAAATGAGGATATATTTTAACTAGTGCAAATTGCTGGAATTTCCCGTACCGCAAAGAAATATTCGAGAAATTTTTAAACGATTTCAAATATATTATTACAAATGCTGTAACATTCATTATTTTTCCTATCTAGTTATATCTGAGCAAATCAAATGTAAATCATGAATAAATCAATTTATCTCCAGAACATTAACAATCGTCATTTCATTTCGAATTCAATTTAAAAAAATAGTTGCCAAAATTTACACAAAATTGAAAAAGAGCTCCCGTATAGTCACAGTCTAAACGCATTTGCAAATAATTCTGTGCGACATTTTCACTTATACTGTGCTTAGCTAGGCGGCATTTTCACTTTTTTCAATAGTTTTTTTCACAAAATTTTGTATGTCCGCAGTTTTCGTCCACGTTTTCGGGCGCACGGATCAACCGATTTGAATGGTTTACAAAACATTCGATCCCTATTGATAGGGAGATGTGGTGATTAGTTTTTGGCAAAGACAGGTCCCGCCATTTCGAAGGTACAGAGCTAATGTGCAAAAAATGGCAGTTTTTGAGTGAACTAAGCGTCCGATTTCAATGATTGGAAAAACTTTCTGCTCGTATTTACAAAACAATTGCTTTTGAGGATAAAAAATTATTACATCATTTTTTTATTTTCCATAAAATATTTTTGTAATTTTGGATTAAACATTCAAAAATTACCCAAGCTAAGCACAGTCTAAGCGCCACTCTGGTACAAATGTTTACCGAAGTGCGTTTAGACTGTTTATGTACACTGGAGCACTTTTCCAATTTTGTGAAAACTATCAAAAAATGTGAAAATGCCGCCAAGCTAAGCACAGTATAAGTGAAAATGTCGCACAGAATTATTTGCAAATGCGTTAAAGTTAAGTAACAAAAACGTAACAACGTATAAAATGACAAAATTTAATATATTAATAAAAATTAAAATACTTTATTCTGTGTTAGAAATATTAAGAAAAAAATAGATGCAAATTTGAAGCATTATAAATTTCGATAACACGAAACAAAAACGTAACAAGAAAACATTAAATATGATAAACGTTAATGTTACGAAATAAAAACGTAACTAGAAATAAAAGTGAAATTACTCGCTATATTCTCATTAATTAAATTATTTCTAGTTAGCATTAATTGTATTTATTTTGATATATAAATTAATACATTGATAATTAGAAAATAATATAAAGCATGAAAATATTAATAAACTAACAATATACTCTAAAACATTATAAATATTATTTTTATGAAACAAAGACGTAACTAGAAGTAAAATTACTCCAAATATTTTTTTTAAACTGAAATTAAACTTTTCTATCTAAAGATCTAATTGGATATTAATGTATATACTCAATATTTAAAAAAAACAATATGAAGTATAAAAAAATATGAAATTTTTAAAAGCAAACTTTAATGTTTATGTTACGAAACATAAACGTGACTAGAAGTGAAATTCTCAAGTCAATAATTTATAATTATTTTAATAAATAATAATTAAAAAAATAAATATAAATTCAGTATATTAAAAACAAAATATAGTACAATAATATAAATAACTAGAAGTGAACATTAAGTCATTATTATTGAAAAATAGTGATAATGCCGCCAAGCTAAGCACAGTATAATTGAAAATGCCGCACGGAATTATTTGCAAATGCGTTTAGACTGTAACTATAGAGAGCACTTTTTCAATTTTGTGCAAATTTTGGCAACTATTTTATTTTTTTGAAATTGAATTCAAAATTAAATGACAATTGTTAATGTTCTGGAGATAAATTGATTGATTTATGATTTACATTTGATTTGCTCGGATATAACAAGATAGCAAAAATAATAAAAGTTACTGAAAGTATTTGTAATAATATATTTGAAAACGTTTAAAATGTCTCGAATATTTCATTACGGTACGGGAAGTTCCAGCAATTTGCCTCAAGGCACGATGTCATACACTACTATTTTCTATTGTTTTACCTTGCACAAGCATTGTCCAGTTCTAGGATCAGGTCTAGTACTGAGGGATCCTGCAGGATCGCATTCGTATCTCTCAGGTGTTGGTGGTCTTGGTGGTTCAGGAGCAGGTTGAGCAAGTCTACATCTGTCTCCAGGTCTGGTTGGATTGCCTTCGTATCCCAGAGCACAACGTTCGCAACGACGTCCTTCGTATCCGGTAGCACAATCGCACACGACATCACCATCTGGTCCCAGGGAACAAGTACGAGCAAATCTGGGGATGATAATTGATTTGTAAGTTCCTGACTTAGATTTGCATAAGTTTGTGATGCTTACTGGTTGCTGGGGTTCGTGAGGGGACATGGGCAAATTCTGCAAGGGATTCCTCTTGATGGGTCTCCATAGAATCCTGGTTGGCAAACTTCTGGTTCACGGTGGCATCTGCCGAGCCAAGGTCCGGATGTTTGTCTTGTATAACCAGGAGCACAAGACTAAAATATAAACAAAATATGTAACATACAAAATTTATTTATATATATATATATATATATATATATATATATATATATAAGGGGGAATCGTTGGAAATGTTGAAAACGTCTGAGGCTTCGTGATGTTTATAATTGGATTATATATATATATATATATATATAAACCAAGAACTAATATTCTATCACTATATATAACATAAGGTAGTCGAGTAATTTCAATTAGGACTCTTTATTGTCCAATCAAAGCACATTTGCTGATAACATATATGCCAATTAGTTGTAAACACCTGAAACATTTTATAAGATATGTATAAAAAAATATAAATTAACAACGATTAATATATATTTACATTTTTATTACAAATTTTGAGGTTATGTTAAGAAACTATATTTCAAAATATTTTTTTTTATTAATTTGTTTATGATTATACTTATTGCTGATATATAGAATATAAACACCTCAAATACTCTATTTAAATACGTATAAACAAATATACATAAGTACCTAAGTATATAAATAATTACATTCCCATTTTCAAGAAATAAATTTCTCAATCGTCCATCTGGCATCGCTTGCTATTATTATTTACTTGCTATTTCGTAATAATTTTCCGTGGTGATTAAAAAATTTATATTATTCACGTAATAATTTTTCAAAAGTAATGATTAAAAGTGCATATTAATGTATTTGTATCAAAACAGAAACACTGAATGACAGTTGAAAAGTGAAAGTAAATGTCATGGATAAAATCATTGATAGAATCATAGATTGAATAAACTAAATGGATAGTTTATAAATAATTAATTTTGAATTAGAATGAAAACTGGATAAAATATATTACATATGTTTCTCCTGGCTCTAAACTACCTTCCTGCCAATTTTCATCTAAATCGATTGAGCCGTTCGTGAGTTATAAGTGTTGTAACTTAAGCGATCCTCTTTTATATATATAACATATATATATATATATATATATATATATATATATATATATATATATTAAGACAAACTTACCTCACAAGACAATCCTGTGTAACCTGCAGGACATCTGCACTCTTCAACATAGTTAGACGGTCCTTGACCGACGTTACTAACTCCTGCAGAGTCCATTGTTATATCTGATAACGTGCATTCGACAGTATTGCCTTCAACATATCTAAACAAGAAAAAGACGCATCATAACAACTTTCAACAAATATTTTAGTAAACTAAATCATTATACGTACTGCATCTTGATGAGAACGCGATCAACTCTAGCAAGAACCATCATGATGTCTTCACGAGATGCTGGAACAGTTCCAGAACCATCTTCACGTACTTTGTCCCATTCACCTTCGAATAATCGAGCAGATCTTTGGGTACCAGGAGTGGATGATGTTAAAAGTTCCTGGGATGTGTGAGTTAAAGTATAACCATTACCCTGAGAAATAAAAATTTGATTAACACCAGCAGTTCTTTTATGGCGATCAAGAGTTAGATCAGTTACTTACGACTAATATGACATCAGGAATCCTTGCTGGTTCTCCATAACCACGGAATTCTACACGATATTTGATGTAACCACCATAAGATTTCAGCTGGTTGCCTGAGAAACTTTCTGGTACTGGTAAATATGGATAACCGCTTGAACCAGATGATCTGCTGTCCATGCCACTGACATAAAGCTATGCAAAACAATTAATTAGAAATCATATTATCAATATGCAGGTTGTTTTTGAGATATTTACCGTAGCTCCATTGGCATCATGTTGTGTAAGTTGTGGTCTTCGACCTCTGTAAGCTGGTTCAGCATCACCAACTGTAATATCACCTCTTGGACCAACTCGGACACCAACAACGCTATCGGCAACAAACGGTGGCGGCAACTAAAAATTCCAAAAAATAAAATAATAAACAACTACAACCCTCTGTTAGTTAATGTGTCTACTTACCGAATATGTGAACAAATCAGCACTGCTGCAATTAGTTGTAGCCCCAAAGCAGAAACATTTAATACACTCTGATGGAACTCGAGCTTCATCATTGAATTGACCAGCTGGACAAACACCACTTCCAGTGATTACCACAAGGATTAAATCAGGAACAGCAATCTTGGTCGTCGTGGATGTTATGGCTTCACAAGAGTAAGCACCTTCATCAGATTTCTGGATGTCTGGACAAACCAATTCACC